AAAGAATTGAATATTCGATTTATTTCTATGTCGTGGTATAAGAACACGTTTCTTTGCAATTTATTAAAACTATTCTATTTTTTCATAATGGCGGCACTTCTCTGTCAATGTCACTTATTAAAGTTATAATATAAGAATGTTAATTAATCTTAGCGATATTTCTCAGTGTCGTAAAAGAAATTACCTTGGAAGCTCGTAATATTTCTAAGATGAAAGTCGGTAAATGCGACTTTAGCAACTTCTGGCGCTACGCCACCGACGAACATTGGCGTGACAAGCTTGAGATACTCTTTCGGACCCTCGTTGATGATGCTCCTGGCGGAACCCCGGTCGACCCTCATTGTAAAATTTTTCTTGATCGCCAGAAGCTCCGCCATGTGAGGCTTGCCATCGGCCACCATCTCGTAGCTGTACATCGTCGAAGTAGGATAATTACCTACGTCGTACGAAACCCTGACCCGCCCATTAAAGAACTCGACAGCGATGTGTCCGTCGCTTTGTCCATCATAGAGAAGAACCCCGTTTTCCTGCGTGGTCGTGAATATGATGGTCACGTTTGCCTCGGGCCTCGTGCGTAGCGGTTCTAGCTCGACCAGCGAGCTATTGTCCACGAAGCTCAGACTCGTCAGGTACTCGCATCGTTTTCCTGAAATGATGGATAAGTGGTCACGCCATGTTAAATTAGCAAATTCTTGAATCACACATGATAAAAGGTAGTAAAAAATTGTCAGATTCTGAAATAAAATTGATTGGGAGACATAATCTCTATATGGGGAGACGTCTCTCAATTACTAAAGATATTTAACAGAAGACAATGATTTTTTTTTACTTACCGGTATAGCCGGGATGGCACTGGCAAAGATAGTCCGCGGCGGAGGCAGGAGCTGGCTGAAAACAGGCACCGTGCTGACAGTCGTGGTGGGCACACGGACTTGTCTGTGGATACAGCATGGCTGTCGAGGGTGCAGCCTCGCAGTATCTCCCTGTATACTCCGCCGCGCACTTGCACTCATAATTGTTTATGCCGTCAATGCAAGTAGCACCGTTCTGCGAAACAAACGAATTACAATTTACAAAAGTGGCAATTAAAATTCGAAATCAGGAGTGAAAAATATAGCGATGATAAAAAGGTCTTTAACACCTATTTTCAATGCTTCAACAGTTACATCTTCAACGGCAGATTCTCATTAAGAAATCTCCGAAATATTTTTTACAAGATTAGAAAATTTATAAGAAAATGGAAAAGAAAAAATATCGACGTTATAATATTATCATAAAAAGCACATTATAAAAATGTTTATAATTATGCCTTATAATGAAGTTTTAATTATGATTTTTAATTAAAATCCAAGAAATTTTTAAAAAATATTATATGTAAAATAAAACATTATGAAAGTGAAGCTAAACTAAAGTAATAATCTTGATGTCAATGCATTTCTAATGTAATCGTCTAATTAATGTCAGTAAGTTTACGGATAAGATAGGAACGCGCACAAACTGGATGCAACTAACTACTAGCAGAGGGTTACAAATCATCGAGCGGTCCGCCAGTTTCACATGCCTGGTGTAGAGTCTCAAACTAAAGGCCATGTATTCTGGAGCTTAAGTCACATATGTGTAATAATATATCCCCCCTGCGAGTTACACGTGGTAATCTTATCAATGATTCAAAATTCTGCTCAAGCCAAGAAGCAATTTGATATTTAACGTTATTATGTAAAAAAATAAATAATGTTATTATGTAATATAACGATTTAAATATGTTAATCATTATTATAATTAAGATAACTAATAATAGCTCAAGATAACTAGTAATAAGTCTTCCAATTAAGTTACATGTAAAATGTATTATTGCAAACTGTTAGTATTAAGTTATTTGAACTGCATAGGGTAACTCCGGCAAATACGCTGCGCTGAGATTTACTAGAAGTCAGGAAAAATAGAAGGAATGGAGATAATTTTCCCGCAACTACTCTGTTACATACCTTTATGTTATATTAATATTGTGTTATGATTTCAGTTTTTTACTGTTAATATTAATAAAATTATTGTAAGTTGAATAGATTTGTTATAAGTAACGCCACTATAAATTATAATCTACGTACATAAAATGATCTGTAGGGCGTGTAAAAGACTTAGTGATTATTTCGTGATACATACGTGGAATAGTAAAATATGTTGTACAGTAAAATACAAGTGCTTTGCTTTCGTATTCTTTGTTTAGTTGTCTTGTATATCCCACTTGTTTGGGATATACGGCCTTTTTAAGAGATTTATGCCCAAAGTATACAAAGTGCGCAGATTGAATTCAGTGTACTAAATGCAATAAGCGCATTATACGAAATATGTACCTCATGTCATAACACAATATATGTAGAAAGATTGTAATTATTATTTATTATTTCATATACATATTTAACATTTTCTTATTCTTTAATAAAAAACTTTATAAACTTATAAATTTATTTTATAAGTTATTGTGTCATTTTACGTCTTATTTGTATGCATTATTTGTAAATTTTTTATGAGCCATACCCTCTCTCCCCCTATGAATAGCCATATATTCCATCCCTATGGGATATACAGCGATAATGTAAGAATTTCAAAAAGTTTATTTTTTAATATGAAAAATAAATATTTCGGATTTCTAATTTTTTTCATAATAGTAGACAGTATAAAGTTTCTTTCTACATATAGTTTGTTTATTTTAAACATATAGTAAATAATATTTAATAAATTAAATTTTTGATAGGTGCAGCGTATATACCGGAGTTACCCTACAGAATGTGTCCAATGTATGGAGATGGAAAATTCATAGAAAGACAGCTTCTGTAGGTCAATTCCGCGCCATTCACGGAAGCTTAGAAAGCTTGGAACGTGATATACTACCGTGGCTTTAGAACTAGCGCCACAAAGCCGAAAACTCCACACCAGTTTCTGTACTCTGTGCAAACACTCAAATGAAATTTGGCCGGCATATAATACCGCGAAGAAGAATCTTCGCATAAAATTTCATACGCCAACTTTATGCTTCTGGGTCGTAGCTCTTCGCGACTGTAAAGTTTCTTCCTCTCGGAAGATCATATCTGCCTGAGTTGGAGTTCTATTTAAGAGTCGATAGTCAAATAAAAGTTTGGCTTTCATGCAAGTCAAGTTATGTCGCTAAGTTTGAGTTTTCATGTTGATACTGTACTGAATTAAATCGATACTACGTTAAATGATTCAACCGAGAAATACTTCCTGAAATGAAATGCAAAGAGACATATGTATATCCGCGTATTAAACCCATCTATAAATGTAATGCATAAGCAATTCAAAAATAAGAATTATAAAATTTGTTATCAAAATTAGAATATATTTTAATGCAAAAAGAAAAGTACTTACTATTATTACAACCGCTATGAATGTAAAAGGGAATTGTTAATGCGGTAGCCAGAAATTAATTGCGATTGTCGCAACCGTAAGCGATACGAGAAAATAAATTCCTATGGTATAAAATGAAACAGATATCATCGACCTCATACAGATAGGTACGCTCGTACACGCGACTTCTACAATACGTAATTACTTATTTAAATGAATTTTACACTCAACAACAGTACTTTAAATATTGTTTATTTAAAGAGAGAGAGAGAGGGGGGGGAGAGTGCATAAAATTTTAAAAGTATATTAAAAGTATATTATGAAAATCTTTATCGCGGTGCTTACAAAATTCATTATTATAAAGTCTAAAGATATTTAATTAATATTGTTCATCACAACAAAGAGAAAAAACAATATTTAAAAATATAACTGAAAATAAAATTATTTAATATCTTATAACATTGATTAAACATTAATAAAAAATACATCGGTTAATATAAAATTTACTCCGACTTTTGCCGTGCGTATTATTTCAAAAAGTTTATAATCATTTATTAATGCATAAAATTATATATTTTGTTAATCATTTATTGTACACAATAAGGCATGGAATTTATAACAATCGATACGTTAATGCGATAAAGCG